ACATTGAACCACTTTGTTATTGACTGTATTTAGAGAAGGCCAAACAGCATAGTAAGAACATGAGGCAGATGAGCCTCCTCAGGCATATTTCAATACGGTTGGAAGTGAGAACAGCGGAATATTGCACTGGAAAAGAAAAAAAATCTAAGCATCAGGCCTGCCACTGCAGCTAGGGCTAAAAAGCTACAAGTAGCAGAAGGGGAGTGCTATGCAGTGGCCAGTTCTCCCTCTACTCTTGTTGGCTAGCTTAGATACACAGTATTTACATACTCTAACCCCACAGACAAAAGCACCATTTTTGGTATGTACCCCACATTGTGGAAAAACCTCTGAACAAGACTCAGACACGAGGCTTCTCCCTCAGAACATTACTTTTTTATTTTTCTTGCCCATCCCCAGAGTACTGAGCAACAGAAATGCAAACTCTCAGCACACTGGCGTGCCAACACCATGGTGTTTCAGCTCAGGAATTTAAAGTCAAACTAGAAGTTAACACCCAGTTTGGAAATCCAGCTGAACAGAAATAGTGATAGCCTTTTTCTATAAACAGATACTCAATATTAGCAGTTATTGCAAGGGGTTTTTATTTTTGTTAAGCTATTTCATAAGAATAGCACCAGAGCAAATTGCTGGCTACAAAACAGGCTGTGAGAAAAAATGGCTTTCTAAAATTAATTCAGTACTTTCCTGTTTCCAAGAATAGTAAATATGTGACTGAGTACCTAGTCCTCCAGCATGTGCATCAATGAGAGATGCTGCTACTGCAATCCCTTCAGGGAGTCCGAGGTCTTGTGCAGCTTCTGGCGTTAGACCTTTTCCAACAGACTCTCCAGGAGACAAGACGTGGTTTCCTGGGCAGACACAAGAAAAACCAAACACCTGTCAATTTACTAAACAGAAAAACAAATGTGTGTGTTATTACAAGAACTCCCTTCCTCTCCCTCGAGTTAGTGTGGTATACTGCAAACAAAAAAGGTGCATCAAAGAACTCCATCTGATTAAGAAGTATCTTTCATTAGTTGTCTGTATATTAAATACAACCATGCTAGATCAGGCTGTCCCACAGCAATGTACAAGTTCAAAAGTATTCAATGTACTATCTATCCACAGAGAGAGATGTCACCACAAGCAATTAAATTCTGCTTGGCCTCTTTCCAAGAGGCCTGAAACACTTAGGCAGAAGTCCCAGGTCCTTGTGGCAGGTACCGCCTAGGCTGCCCCCAGCCATTCGCTGCGCACCGAGCTCAGGCCACGCTCACGGCTGAAACCTGAACCACCTGCACAAGGCAAGGGCCAATGTTTTCTCCATTTCCAGCCTCTCCAGCAGTTTCTGCTCAGAATAAGGTGGCCACAGTTACAGCAACTCTGAAAACAAATCTGGCTTAAGCAGCAAATTCCTCCTGTTGCAGCTGTATTTCCTCACAGGCTTAAACAATCCCGTTTTGCCCTTCACTGGCCTTCGGAAGAACATTATGGTCCTGCCGAACACAAGCGATGCGACCCTTCCCTCTCAGTCCTGTCACCAGCGAGTCTGGTGGCAGGTCCTGCCTGCATCGGTCCCCGCTACCATAATGCACCTTTGGTTTTGTCTAGCAAAGAGGAGATCGTTACAATAGTTAAATCATGGTGATAGTGGTGGCTCAGAGCTTAGAAGAACAAATCTCGATTCATTAAACTTTCAGAATTTAAGAAGACCACCCCCTGACAGCCTTCTCTCTGGCTGCTGAGTGTAACACAGCCAAAGCTCCTGGACATTTACCTAAAGATCCAGGGGGTGAGAGGCAGTGAAAGGCATGGTGGGAGCTGCCACACACCTCCCTGCCCATACCACAGCTTTAAGTCGGAGACCTCATGCCCATTTAACAGGCTGTACCTGTAGCCTTTACCCAGTTCAACAAATCTTCTGGGCAGAGTTGACAAAACTCCTATTTAAATAAAATCATCTTCACAGTCAAGTCTATTGAGAATGTTACACCTCAAGCATGTTCTGATGTGCAAAAAGGAAGTAAAACACCCTCCACAATAGAGATTAATTAAGAGGAATAGTGTATCATAAAATATCAGGAACACACTAATGCTCATGAGCATAATCTTCTAGAAATAGTTACACTCCCTTACTGCCAGATGAAAAGGAGGTAACAATATTCAATTCACAGGAGGAAAAATGGTCGTCAATTTTACTTATCACTTAGATCTTTGGCTTTGCTGTAAATTATGTTGGTTCTTCCTTTTAAGGAAGGTGCCCACTTCCCGACAGATGCAGTTTGTGGAGCACACACAACTTCTCTGTGTTCATTTATCCAAGAGTTTCTATTCTACTGACAGCCACATCGTTGCCTCTGAAATGCTAGACTGAATCTCACACTGGAAATTTAAATCAAGTATGTAGAGCCAGAACTTCTGCATTTCACTGGGTTTAATTTGGGGCGGTAAGCAAAACTCACTATTCCCATCACTCCAGTAAATTATACAGAAGAAAGCAATGACATTGATCTCCACACAGGAAAAAACTGCCTATATTTTATTAATTCTTAGTGTAAAGTCAAAACGTTGTGCTAGCTTTTTCAAGAGGTGCCTCTTGCATTTTTTTCCCCAATAAGTTGGAGAGCAGGATGTTTCTCTTTAAGAGAACTTTCGTATTACCTTTCTGTTTTGTTAAGACATCAGAGAATAATACCAGTAAAATAAAGTTGCCTGCTTCTTCTGACATTCAAAGACCCTGTAGGTGGAAGGAAGTTCAAAGGAGTTCATGCAGCTAAAACCGCATCTTTTTCTTCAGAATCAGCCACCTGACCTGAAAGCATACAAGTATTTGTATTTACAGCACCAGATGAAATTAATGTGAAACAAAATCCCTTTGCAGGCACTCAATTCCACGGTTGGCTTGTTTATATCAGTCATACTGGTCAAAAATTGTAGTGTGTAATTATTATGTGGTTAAACCCCATTTTAGGTATCAGGGCTACCATTAGACAAAATCTTTTCCTACCAGCTCCTCCATTACTGTACTTCTAGTTAATGTGCACTAAGGGAGCAATTTCAGAGATAAAGATAATCCTGTCTTCTATGGCAGGAGTAGAAACTGACCCTATAGATTCCTTTGGTACTAGTTATACACAGGAATGAGGAGCAGCATTACTACCCCTCAGGAGCATAAAGTGTGTGAGAATGTGCAGGGCTGGGTATCTTGTGATCTGAAGAGGCAGCATAAAAATCTTGTATTTTAAAAAAGTATTAATTAACAGTAGCGTATGCCCCGTCTGTTTTAGGAATCAAGGTAAAGAGTTACTGCTTGACCGAAAGCACTTCCCGGCAGTCTGGGAAGCAGCAGCAGCCAGAAGTCACCATGGCAGGAACTGAGAAGGGGAGGCTCCTAGCTGAACAGTTAGGGAGAGAAGAAAAGAGGTGCCAGCAAGCACGAACATAAGGAGAAGATGCTGACGCTGCCCCTCTACTTCATCCTCCCAGCTTCAGAAATCAGCGAAAGCTTTGCTGCACCCACAGGATACATTCATGAGGAGCTTGGTGAAAGGGAAGGAGCAGGCTCTGCACGGGCACTCTCTCTGTCATCATGGAAGTGGCCTCCCCACCCACAGCAGTGTGAGTGAGTGTGGAACGGGCAGAGCCGTGACTGAACTGCATGGGCAGAGACCTGGAAAGAGAATTGTGATTCTCACGCCTTACTCTCCACTGAAAACCCAGAAAACTCAGCTAAGCATGAGTATGCTTAGAATCTGTAGGTATAAAGCTATTAAAGTCTTCCCAGAGAGGGTGGGGAGGCACTGGGACAGGTTGCCCAGAGAAGCTGTGGATGCCTCATCCCTGGAAGTGTTCAAGGCCAGGCTGGATGAGGCTTGGAGCAACCTGGTCTAGTGGAAGGTGTCCCTGCCCGTGGCAGGGGGGTTGGAACTGGATGATCTTTAAGGTCCTTTCCAACCCAAACTATTCCGTGATTCTATAAATAATAAAAAACACAAAAAAGCAACCCAAGAGGAGCCACAGTTAAGAAGTAAAGCATTTGGAACAGATTATACTCCGGTACTAGACTGGGAGAGAGTGAGCAGACTCTTACTTGAGCAAAACACAGCAGCTGTAGAAGTTGAGGGACAGCTGCTATAAAAATAAAGGTATTCTGCAGCATTTCAACAGCAGGTGCTGCCCCCCTTAAATCCTACCTGTGAGGGGAAAGGAGGTGTCAGGGAGGGGGGAAAGGGAGAGGAGAGAGGCCTGCCCGGAGGCTGCATGAAGGAGGCAGTGAAAGGCTCAAGTCTTCCCCGGGCTCCTGCCAAAGTAAATGTATCGAGTCTTTTGTTTACAGTAGTCTCCTGTGCGAGTCATTTACCTTCGCCATAATGACTTCCAAAATTAGACCTACCCAAACAAACCCATAGTGGCTGGAGAAGTTTCTGTTTCCCATTCACCCAGCTGTTTCACTAAGGCAATGCCTTCATCCACAACCGTTTCATTTTGAGCGAGACAGGCTATTCCTGGCTATTTTCCCCCCTATAAAGCAGCGAGTTTACGAAAGGAAAAAGCCGTCTGAATCTCTTCCTCCCCTTTCATCCTTCTTCGAAGACTGAAGTTCGAATTCGCTACGATCGGGTTTTGTTTAAAGAATTTATGTGGTACCAAGGCCCCTCTACCTTTTTAGGCGGTTACCACAGCGACCAGCTATTTACCAGACAACACACAGCACAGACAATGCATCTTCAGTCAACTCTGGTAAACAAAATTCACTGTACCGGCTTGCTAATATTTAACAGAACCAGGAACTTTAGGAAGTAGACCTTTTTAAAACCAACAAAAGCAGAGCGCAGCAGGGGGGGCAGCTGACTCAGTGATATACTGTGATACCTCCCTGCGAACAGCTTTTCATCTCTCATGCAGAACGTGGCTGCAGTTCATAGGAACTTATATTTGGCTGTATAAAAATACAAAGGGAAGAAAATCAAAAGGAGACGTTCCTTTTCTTCACTAACTTGACACAAGCAAACTTGATCTTGGATGTATCAATCCCTTGCTGAAATCGCAGCAACCTGAGAAAGAAACCCAACCCAAGGGTCTCCATTTTACATCCTTCCCCCAAAATGGACAATCTAAATGCTTTTTAATTTAAAAGACGATACACAAAACAGATATCCTGTTAAATAAGCAAGATATAACATTCACTAGAAGTTACCTAGGTAAACAAAATAGTGATAAATAAGTATCAAAGGAAACCTTAGTACAAAGAAGCACCGTCCACCCAAATGGATCTCATAATAAGCAATGAAAGGGATTTTCCTCCTCAATCCTTTTTTCATTACAAAGCTTGTGGACAATGTTCAAGTTTTGTGTTTTATAATAACCTTCATAATGCCAAGAATCTGGGGTATGCAAGGAATCTGAATAAATAATATTGTAACACTTCTGATACATCATCCCAACCCTGTCGCACACACAATACATTACGAGGAATCCCTCTCAATTACATACAATATTCACATTTAACTGAGATACATACGGTTGATTGTCCTACAATTTTTAACCCAGCTGATTAGCAAAAAATAGCACTAGGATGAGAAGGAAGCAGGATAATGATGTGGAGCATAAAATTATAATATTATTTTTTTTATTAGGGCTGAATGCATGGTGGTTAAAGGGTGTTAGAAACAGTCAGATCTGGGGCTTTTTTAACCTGGAAATACCCTCCATAAAATTTCCTGGTTGGCAGTTAAAAAATTCAGAATTTTCATTCAGGAAAACCAAAACAAATTGTGATATTAGAGGCCAGCTTATTTAAAAGTGAGAAAAACAGTTGGTTAAACAAAATCCCTTTGGCTTTCTTCAGTTCAGAATACATCTCTGTCTA